TTTATTAATTCATTTGTTGATTTATCTGAATTAGGTTTTACTTCACGATATTGTTTAATAATCTATTACATTTCCACACCCTCAATTCATCAAGATGGATGTACACATCCTTTGTTTTATAAGTTATGAAGAAAAAAAAAGGTTGATTTGATTCAACGCAATTCCGGTCAAACAATCTGATTCTAAGATGAATCACAAATGCCTGTAAGTTCGTTATAGATCTTACACTAATTTTCTATGTTATCCATATAGAAATATAAGAAATGATAAAAATTATTTTTTTTATATTATCAGTATAGAAAAAAAAGAACTAAGAAATATTGTTGTCTATATTTAATTTTTTATTTCGATATGACCTTGAATAGAACAGATTTTAATGTTTAAGTTTATTTGCTATTCTCTAGTTGTTTTTCAATAATTAACAAGCGCAATAATTCAACATTTATCTAATAAAAACTTTTCGTATTTCAATCTCAACTGAATTCTAAACTCACCTGCCACGTATATATCCCTTTTGCTACTAATAAACGTTCATTCGTACATGAACACCAATACTCTCGTCCTTTTATCTAACTGCGCAATTATGACAATTGTCATGAACGGTTTTGTTCAACATTTTAGCATGTCAATACTTTGTTCGAACTATACAGAATGCAAATGAATAGGAATATAAACATACAGCATAGGAATTGAAAGCAACGTATCACATTGTACGGCCATTACATAATAGAGCATTATTTATCTGAATAAAGAAATTGTTAATATTTCGGATTATGAAGATGGTATTCTTGTGCACGGAGGCATTTATGGAAATGAATTTTCATCAATGTAGATGTTAATCCGCCGATCGATTTCGTTATGAGAGAACAAAAACAAATTCTACATATAAAGTGCTGCCGTTGGTATTGTAACAACCTAAAATAAAAAAATACATTATTTTCGTATATAATACTCGATTATACTTACAAGAAGACTGAGCATTCCTATTTGTATGTAGAAAAGTTTGTTGGTCATAGTAATCATTTTTTCACTCATTGTGATCATTGTATCCATCTTTTTATTTAATTCTTTCAATTCTTTAGTTATTAATTGCATAGAATTGTTATTGTTTGAATTTGGTGATGAAGATGCATTGGAATTTGGTGGTGTTGCTGGTATATTTGGTGGTTGACTTTCTGTTTCTGAAGATGAGACGTAGGTGAAGTAGCCATCCGATTCGAGTATTTCTACCGGCGATTCGCCTGTGGTGCATTCCACAGGATTCCGGAAGAGTTTCCGGTGTAACTCGACGAGCTCTATCTATTGATGAAATCAGAATTTCAATAGCTCAAAGCATACTCCTCAAAATCCCAAAATACGGGTGGGTGTGGGTCTGCGGGTGTTAATATGAGTAATAATGCAGCGAATACCCACACTCACATCCACACCCACACACCCACACCCACACACCCACACCCACATCCACACCCACACACCCACACCCACCCACACCCACACCCACACCCACACCCTCAATACTGCTTCCATGAAACCTCTGGAATGCCAAGGAACCGGTCGGATCTGGACCGGATGGCTCGACCTGGGAATTCAATGCAATCAATAACTCAGGAATTAAAAGAATGAAATAAGAAAATAGATACAATGATCACAATGAGTGAAAAAATGATTACTATGAACAATACAATATGTACTAGGAGCAACAGATTATTTTATATTCAAATAGGGATGCTCAGTCTTCTTGTAAGTATAACCGAGTATTATATACGAAAATAATGTATTTGTTATTTCAGGTTATTACATTACCAACGGCAGCAATTTACATAAAAAATAAGACTATTTGTTTCGTTTTTTTTTATAAAAGTCATATTAGATATTATATACATATGAACAAGTTTTATTTCAAATTTTATTGTCAAAATTTCATGGATCCGGGTCATTTAGTCGACAATCACTTCACCGACCGATGTTTCACCAACAGGTACGGTTGGCCGTCAGAGTACCTTTTGACATTTCAATTGAATTCAATTTCAGATCTTTTCGTGATTGATATTCCGATTTTGGATGACTTTGATTAGGGTGCATATTCAACTGTACAAGTATATTCATTTCCTTGATTAAATTAACAAAAATAAAACAAATAGATAATATCAAAAATAAATAAATAACAAATTATTACCATTATTATCAGCAAAAACATAATCTTGAAATTTTTCTGTAAATACAGTTAGATCTTGTCGATTCGGAATATTAAGATAAAAGCACGACAAAATGCATATTGTTGACCGAAACTAAAAGAAAAAAAAGAATAAAATTTTCTACAAGACAAAAAAATATAGAAATACCTTAGATCAGCTTTACAAAAACGATAATAATCATGATCAGGAAGTGGAGAAACAATTTCAGAAAATTGTTCACTTGTAAGTAAAGTGTTAATCAACGAAGAACTATCTATATGAAATAATCAAAAGAAAAGACTTTTTTATATAATATGATAGAGAAAGATAAATGATGATGTACTTTGGTTTGATTTTGATCACTGAATGATCTAATATTAGCTGATGTTTGTTGTTTTTTACTAGTACGAGCTCCATCAACCATTTTGGATTTTTAATATTAACAATAGTTTAATATGAAAGAATATCTTCTCAAAATAAAGTATTGGAATTTTAATAGCCAAAAACATATTTAATAATACGAAGAAAACGAAAAATACGTATGTTAAAAAGAATATGGGACCAAGTGCACGATGAGCTTGTTGAAGTGCTGGAAAATCAAAACTACCCAAAATAATCAAAAATAATGTGTATCTGAAATGAAATAAAAACATGAAATCTATTTATTATTATAAAATAATATATTTAACTTACACAAAATATTGAAATGCTCGAAAACCTTCAATTTGTATGCCAAAATTTAAACATCCAAGTTTTGCAAATGCAAAACCTATATATCTTTTGCACATTTAGTTAATGTTTCACTTGATTGAGTCATTGTTTTATTAAAACTAATATATTTAAAGATCTAGAATAAAATAAAAATAATTATCAAAAAATATAATTCATATATATATATACAAACTTTAATTCAAGCAAGAAAAATTGTTGTACTTATAAGATTATTAAATTGATATTGCCAATAGCAACAAAATGTAAAATCACTAAATTGTCTTGTTTGTTTAACCAATAATTAAGTGATCAAGTAAATTATTAACTTGTACTTGTCGATAGATATATACAATTCATAACTGATTTAAAATATGCATATTTCACAGATACAATCTTATAACTGAAAGAATTTAGATATTCTCACCAACACTACCACGATTTTTGCATGAACTCT